TTGATTTTTTTTCAATTAGTTATTCGGGGGAAAGATAGAATTTCATAATAGAAAAGACGAATTTGTACAAGACGTTTGCATAGAAATGACTGACAAGTTCTTTTTGTGGCAACCGTGAGGTGTTCATTCAGAAGTTTTCATTTCTGAGACATCAGAAATGGAAACGGTTGTGCAGCAGTTTTCATTTTCCAAGTTCTGTAGGGTGAAAGAGTGGTGTTGCAGATCTAATTGAAACTTTCACTGGACTCCGTATCAATACAACAACTAAAGATATTTTATTCAAAAACAGAGTTTTGAAAATATCTTTTTGTCTTTTTTCGCTCTGTTTCAATTCTATTCTGTAATTCGTTCGTCCCCGCAATATCAGATTCTTATTTGTTTGAAAATTTGGTTAAAATTTTGCTGTACTTCATAGCGATTGTTGTCAAACAGTGATATCCCTTTCACGCTGTCATATGCGAGGAACAAACTTATTCAAATTAAATCAACTGGGTTTTGAATAAATGTTCGAACTATGGAGAGAGAAAGAGAGAGAGAGAGAGAGAGAGAGAGAGAGAAAAATACTATTTAGCCAGATGCATCATTTCTCGATTAACTATATCAGTCAGATGAATCGTTCATAAAAACAATAGATACGTAAGAAGATTTCATAATTTCCGTGAAAGATGGTGTGAATAGGGAGAGGAAGAGAAAAAGCAATCACAAAGAGAGGATGGCATCCTAAAAAAATTAAAAAGAAGAAAACATGACCCTCAGTAGCAGCTGTTTCTCTATCCATCTTTCTGTTTCTCCAAAACTTCTTCATTATAAACAATTTCTCAACAAAAATTGAGAGAAATAACTCAATCAAGTCCAGTTAAGGTGAGAACAAGCCAATTAGGGAGACAGGCGGAAGAACATTGCGTGCGAATTTGCAAAAAAGACGTTATGATGTTCTCTCTCTCTCTCTCTCCCTCTCTCCATGTATGTGTGTTTGTATCAGGTATAGCAGTCAACTCACTCAAAAGTCCCTTGCAACTCATATAGTATTCTGTGCTTGATGAACCAAATCCCTGGAGAGCATATTTTTCAAAAATCGAATAAAAAAATCTTTTTTTCCTCTCCCCCCTTTGAACTTGAAAAAGTATTTGACGATTAATCACATTATTCTGACCCCTTTCCTACAAAACGGTCCACAAATTTTCTTTTTCTTCTCATTTCCTCCTCCGCCTCTCTAACACATAAGATTTAAATGTTGTTTATTGGCGCCAAATAACACATGGAAAACGGGCTGACTGCCGCCGTACAAAAAATGAGAATTAAAAGCTCTCATCGAAATGATTCATTCTCGATTTTCAAATTATTTTAAGATGGAAAGCAGTTGTCACACGAAAGTGCTGCTGCTGATGATGATGATGATGATGATGATGATGGAGGGAATTACAATGTAGTTGGTTTTCATTGCTGTATGACAAGACTCAGTCATTTTTGTTGAAAAAACTTTATTTTGATTCGTGTGAAGATCACGAACGGAATTCATTTGTTGAATATGAGTTTCATGGAAATTTTCAAACTTTAAGGCCATAGTGAACAAGAGGAAGAGAGAGAAAGAGAGGGATAGAAAGAGAAAGAAAGGAAAAGGGAGAAAGAGAGATGAGATGGAAGGCAACAGTAAGAGACAGAAAATGGATGATGGTCGAGATGCAAAACTGTTGTGAATGGTGGAGAAATGCCACAGACTAGGTAGACTAACCAGGTAATGATGGTAAGCTGAATTATTACGTTTTCCTAATAATACAATTTTAAAATATTTACATTCAACTCGTAAAGGAAAAGATATTGTCACAGATACACGGAAGCTCTGAAAGAATTATCTCTGTCAAGATCTAATGATTGCTGAATTTTCAGATCTAAGCATGATACTACATGATATCAGCTTATTAATCAATGTGTCAATTTTACAGCCTGATTTGTCATTTCGACGATGAAGCGATCAAGCCATGTGATAGATTTAGGAGTGAATGATCCTCCTTCCAAGAATCCTAAGTGACCACCATGCCGAGTGGAAATGAATGCAATGTCATCTTTTTCAGTTGCTAACTTCTGCAATGTGTGAAATAATATATATACATATATATATCAACAAAAGAGAAGAGAAATGAAAAAAAGAATGAGACATACTTTCACAGGCTCCCACAAGCTGCGAGGAACAATCGGATCATCTTCCGCATTGAGAAAGATCATTGGAATTCGGAGATCACTGAATATATTCTTTCAACAATGGATGTGCACAACAAAAATGACTCACGCAAGATATGGAAGGCAACTTGCTTGTTCATAGAAAGCATCTAATGAAGAATAACCAAAAACTTTACGATTGTAATGCTCGTCAAACGCGATTATAGATGTTGCTGACCAGAGACGCTGAAAGAGGTTCATTGTTACTTAGGGGCCATATGAAGCAAAACAAAAACCTGTTCATCAATCAATCCCGATTGTACATGTGGTAGAACAGCTTTGTCATAATTTCTTCGAAGTAATCGTTTCATATTTTCAGTTATTATGTAATTGTAAGCTCTTCGGCCGTTCTCCCAATCATGGTACATGGGGGCACTGACTGTGGCTGAATACCCTTGTCCAACACTCAGTCCCATTATAATGCGATTCCTATAATACAATTATACGTATCTGCTAGTTCTCTCTTCCAATACCTAAGCTCAGGAGCTAGACGGAGCAGAAGAAGTGTTGTTATGTTTCCTCCCATACTGAAGCCTATATTCACAAACTTGGTCTCCGGATATTCGCCAAATAAGTAGTTCATCATAGCTACAGCCTCATCAGTCCCTCCTGCAAACAGGAAAAAAAGTTTTTTTTCTAAACATTTTGTGTGTGTGAATTGCGTTGGAAACTGTAAAATTGAAATGAGATACCATAGGAGAAGATCCGATTTCCGGTAAGTTTCACATCTTGCAGAGCCCCCAAGTGGTTCAGAACGGCACAGCGATAGCTGAATTCCAATAATACATATCTCAGCTTGTTTAATAGCTAGACAAACCCATGTTCCTGAGCTAAGTGTACACAAGTTCGGATATAATTACTTTCGCTTGTGTTTGCTATTCCAGGAACTAATGTTAGCGTAACATCCCGTTCGTCCTACAACTCAAAGCCTTATTAGAAGAACGATTGGTTCAAAGAGGAAATCTTACTGGATGAGGATTGATAGGCTCAAATATATCAACATATGCCGTCGTTCCGTCCGACATTTTGAGGCATATTCGACGATCAAAAGTTCGTTTGAGACTCGAGTGACCCAATAGTCCATAAGCTGCCGTCTGAACATGTCCCGAACGACCCCATAGCGGCGGCGGGCGATACCTGCAACATGTCGCAATTAATCAATGAAAAAAAAGGAACACTTCATAATGACAAAACTAATTAGGATTAACAAGCAAAAGTACAGACGAAGATGAATTTGTGTTCGAAACAACACAGGGTCGTTCATTAGTACGCAATAGAAGAACAACACTTACGGTTCTTGGAGCATTGTAATGCCGCCAATCAGTTCATTGATAAAACTTTTTTCAGACTTCTCTCGAAAAGTAATTTTAGGAACTTCCGACGATGACAAGACATGTAAAAAGCGAAGAATTAGAATCAGCTGAAATGAAGATGTTAATGTCGACATGAAAAGATAAAATCGCTAACCGTCAACACCCAAATGACAACATTCGGCGACGGCAAATCATTTTGAACGAACGAATTAGTGAATCCCAAGAATGTGTTTAATGACTCCCAATCCATAATAGGCTGAAAAGAAAAACGAAAAGTTAATCAACAGATGCTCTGTCCATCAGCTAAGAACAAGTGAAATGAAGAGCTTAAATGACTTTGGTGTAATATTGATTGAATACAACTGGATTGCAACTAAAAATTTCTTTTTTCTCGTTCGCCTTCATTGAAACCTTTGCCGATCATCTTAACAGCCCATATTAGCAATACAAAGAACAAAGTATTTTCCGTATAGAAGTAACGATTCAATTATTTGAAATTTGTCTTGGCCGTCTCACCGATAAGAAAGTTCAATGTGGACAAGTGGGAAGACAGAGTCGACCATTGGCGGTATCGGCGTCAACACCAACCCTCTCTGTGTTAACCTTACAGGTCTGTCTGTGTGTGTATATATATGAAGATTTGATAGTATATGCAGAAGAAACAACTTGTTATGAATCTGTTTTAATAAATAAATATTTATGAGACACAAACACACACAGCATGCTGACGTTGATGTTCGAAAATAAAAATAAATTGGAGCAGCATAGCTGAGGCAGGCATTTTACGTATGGATTGTCTTTAATTCGAAACCTGTTGTTTGCTTACTTTTTACTGAAAGTTTGCAATGAAATCGCGTATCAACGTGGCAGCATATCAATAGTCTCATATGTGACCGAGAGCAAAACAAATATTTTGTTTTTTCATGTTTTATTCATAATTTTTGTTTTATGGACATACAAAGACATAAATTGCTATGCTATATAGATGAGATGCTTGCTGCTTACTCATTCTCTCACTCACACACATGCACAATCATATCGATCGTTGACCATGTATGGCAACGTTGCTAACCAAATGGCACTTAGACGTCCAGCTTTAGTTACTAGTCATTCATCTCGCTCTCTTCATGACATCTGTCATTCATATCTTACAAAGAGATGAACTTGCAAGCTTAGCTTAACATGAGCAAAAAAGGAAGAGCTCACGCAATGACCGCGAATAGAATAATTAATTATTTATATTGAACAAACGTTGACATTCAGCTTTTTTTTGTTATTCAATAGGATCTAGTGGCAGTGTGGGAAACATTGAGAACTTGTCAAATATCACAGAAATCAAAAAGGCCAATCAATTTTCATCATAGTTCAAATAGGAGTATGTGATAGCTGACGCTCTCTCTTACTTGGAAATGCGCTCAAGTACCGTCTGTGCTTTTTGCAAGTCTGCAAACGAATCTTTCTTATATTTTTGAGACCATAAAAGCATTACCATTTACGAAAAAGCGGAATTGTTGTTTTGTCATAGCGAGAGTTCTTTCTCCATCACCTTCTTTCTCGTATTTAATAGAAACTCCATTTGGTTCATGCGATTGCAACGACACAAACTTCATGGCTGGCTCTGTCAAGTAAAAACCAAATAAACGCTTTAGTCAAGAGTATTTCGAACCTTTGGGGATGTCCTCTCTTACATAGGCTAGTATTTCATCATGATGAGCAGCAATTACTTTACACAAAACTTTGCCATGTTCTGAAAATTATGATGACGCTTCTGCCTTAGAGACTATAGTTCTTACCAGGAGGCACTCCCAACTGAATTATTTCCGCTTCTATATCACTTATCTCGCATTTATAGCCAACAGCACGTTTTATAACGAATGCTAGAGAAGCCATGAATCCTTTCAATTGATTCAAATCTTAATTTAGCGGATGTACCGAACTAATTCGATCTACGAACCTAGGCTTTCATTAGTGAATCTCTCTAGATCTCCATCAGTTACATCATTCTTCAATAGGAATTTCACAGCTAACGTACATACATTTTTGAATTTAATGGACGTCTAAGTTATTTCGAGACTAACACACATACACGCACTGTTTCAGTTTCGTACCAATTTTGAATAATCCGCGAATTGACCTAACAGCCAATCTGGACAATCCAATCCACCCAGGAAGCGAAATTTCTAAATGAGCACTAACGCAATGTCAAATTAATAACACAAAACGAACCATTCTTTCATGAATAAACAATCACACCAACTTTCTTCAACGTATTTGCTTGCAACCAGTCTGCTGCCACAAGCGCGCTCCATTTGGAAATAAGCAAACCTTTAATTTCGCTTAAGATGCCGGAAATTCAAATTTCAAATTAGCATCTCATTGTTTCCAGATGGGTTTTCCGGAAAATGTTGTCGATTTCAGCTGGTACGTTTATCTTTCACGCTTGTTTATTTTATTTTTATCTAATTTTCTTCCTTTTTTTTTGTATTTTTGTCTCGTCAAGCCTTCCCAACCTTTCCAACTTATCACTTGTGAGCTTACTTTGCTCCTGCCCGTTTGCTAACGATGACTGGCTGCTTTGTAGGTGTGAACCTTCTCCACCCACACTATTACATAGTTTTTATCTTTTGCATGGCAGGAAATGATCTCCTCTTCTCTCTTCTATCTATTTTTTTGTCAATTAAGACGTCCTTGGGTTTCGATTAAATTGGGAACCGTTTCATTTTGCACTTCACGAAACCTCCGCCATATTCAGAATTTTTCTCTGTTTGATATAGCTCGTATGGTTTTAATGGATTGAATAGAAAGTCGATACAATGTTGGTTCACACATAGTGTTGCTGCAGTCATACATAATAGAGTAGGCGGGCAGGAAGAACTCAAAACTAGAATGCAGTCATTCGCCCTCAACAAGGCCGTCAACATAGGCGATTTCAAATGTTATACTTTTGAAATTTCTATTTTTCCAAATCGTATTTTTTTTCGTATATGTTTCTATGTTTATTTTCACGTCTTGTGTTATTATGAGGCGAAATGTTCGATTTCCACTTCCCTCCATGCGCAGCCGCAGTATTGATCTCTTCTGCTATACATTTTCTCTTTCTTGCGTCTGTCTTCAATTTCGTTGTAAAATCTTGCATGTTTCTGGTATCAGGATTAACAGTTGCAGTTTTTCCCTATAGTTCAGCACATAGTCTCAATCATGCATTTCCTCTCGTATTCTCCGTTGAATTCGAATTATTGCCTATTAAGGCTTCATGTTTATATGTTATATTTTTGTTTTCAACCGGTTTTCTTTCAATATGTTTGCGCAATTATGGAGTTTCCAAATTTTTGATGCGTTTTTAGTTTTGAAACAACATTTTGACATGACCAAACGGTTGCGTCTTCAGATTCTTTATTGCCGTAATTAATTTCTTCGTCCCTTACATGCACGTCTCTCTCAGCCTAACCCTTTTGAAGCATCAGGTTTTGAAGCTGAGATATGCTCTGATTGTCGGTTCCATCTTCTTCTTTTTGAATCAGTCTTCTCATCTCATTTTATTTTACTTTTCTTTCATCTTCTCTGGAATACGTATCTCTCTCTCTCTCTCTCTCTTTACTGAAATGTGTTATCTTTATGGAAGTAATTAGTGAAATCAAAACTCTTCATTCACTCAATTATTCTGTGTGTGTGTGTGTTATTTGAGTATTGATTTCCCCCATTTGCTTTTTATTTCTTCAGCGAAATTCAGTGTAAAGTGAAAATTCCTCGCTTAATCTCTTCGTGTACTCGTTGAATCATTCCTTACAGCGTTCAATTTATATTTGTTGATTTCATTTATGTGTATTTTTTTTTTAGAGCAAATGGGTAAGGACGGAGACCCCGGAGGCGAAACCACACAGCCCAAACCACAAGATCCAAAAATGCAAGCCGCGAAAGTTCATATGCTAGATGGTACTATTCGAGAGTTTGCTCTCCCGGTAATCAGTAACACGAATTTGTTTGTGATGGGCTTGTTTCAGAGAGGTTCAAAGG